TGGCAACAGTCTCACTCCTTCACTTAGGCTGGAGTGCAGCAGCTGCAACCTCCATCTCCCAAGTTCAAGTGATTCTCATGCCTCAGCCTCCCAAGTAGCTGGGATTATAGGCTAGCAGCACCACGCCAAGCTAATTTTTGTATTTATAATAGAGACAGGGTTTATCCCATGTTGCCCAAGTTGGTCTCAAACTCCTGGCCTCAAGTGATCTGCCCACCTCAGCCTCCCAAAGTGCTGGGATTACAGGCATGAGCCACCACGCCCAGCCCTGTTTTTTGTTTGTTTGTTTGTTTTTAATAGCCAACCTAGTGTATGTGCATTTCCCTAATGAATAGTAAGGTTAAGCATCCTTTTATCTGCTTCTTGGTCATGTGTATATCTTCTTTGGAAAGAAATCTGTTAATGTCTTTTGCCCATTTAAATATTAGGTTGTTTGTCTTTTTGTCGTAGGAGTTTTTTTATTTTATGTTACAGAGAGGAAAAGATAGAAAAATGAAACAAAAAACTTCTCCTAGCTGGGCGCTTATGCTTGTAATCCCAGCACTTTGGGAGGCTGAAGTGAGAGGATCGCTTGAGCAATATGAGACCAGCCTTGGCAACACAGACAGACTCTCTCGCCCCCGCCCCACCATCTCTACAAAATAATAATAAATTAACCAGGTGTGGTGGCGTGCACCTATAGTCCTAGCTACTCCAGAGGCAGAGGTAGGAGGCTCGCTTGAGCCCAGGAGTTCAAGGCTGCAGTGAGCCATGGTGGGCCCACTGCACTCCACCCTTGGTGACAGTAAGACCCTTTCTCATGAACACACACACGCAATACCCTTTCCCACTGTCTGCAGATCTATGAGGGGATACTCCAGGGCTTAAGCAGGATGCTGACAACTCCACTTCAGCCTTTACTTCCTGCTTATGCTGAGCCCAGTGATCCGCCAGAGGTGACAGTTTAGGGACTTCAGGGGGCATGCACATTGCATTCTAAATTCCTCAGTATAGGCCAGGCACGGTGCCTCATGCCTGTAATCCCAGCACTTTGGGAGGCCAAGGCAGGTGGCTCACCTGAGGTCAGAAGTTAAGAGACCAGCCTGGCCAACATAGTGAAACCCCGTCTCTACTAAAAATGCAAAAATTAGCTGGGCGTGGTGCCAATACATGGGTGTCTGTAATCCTAGCTAGGGAGGCTGAGGCAGGAGAATCGCTTGAACCCGAGAGGTGGCGGTTGCAGTGAGCCAAGACTGGGCCACTGCAGTCCAGCCTGGGTGGCAGAGCGAGACTCCGTCTAAAATAAATAAATAAATAAATAAATAAATAAATAATTCGGTATATATAGGTGCCTTTAGAAGGCTCTCATTGCCCAAAGAAACTTTCACCGCAATATTTAATCCCAGACTTCGGCTCATCTGTGGTTTTCTTCCATCGTAATCTTTTGTCCCAGGCGGGTACGGGTTCTTCCTTCCCCCTGCAGTGTTTTCAAGGAATGCATTCTGAATTGAAGACAAGCACCTTAAGTCAATCCTTCTGTAGCTTCCAGACATATTAGAATAGACCAACGCAATATAGTCATGCCTGGTTTAACAATGGGGATACTTTTAAAAAGAAAAAAAGGCCAGGTGCAGTGGCTCATGCCTACAATCCCAGCACTTTGGGTGGCTGAGGCGAGCAGATCACCTGAGGTTGAGAGATCGAAACCAGCCTGACCAACATGGAGAAATCCCAACTCTACTAAAACTACAAAATTAGGTCGGGCACAGTGGCTCACGCATGTAATCCTAGCAATTTGGGAGGCCGAGGTGGGCGGATCACCTGAGGTACAGAGTTCGATACCAGTCTGGCCAACAAGGTGAAACTCTGTCTCTACTAATAATAGAAAAATTAGCTGGGTGTGGTGGCACACACCTGTAATCCCAGCTACTCAGGAGACTGAGACAGGAGAATCTCTTGAACCCAGGTGGCAGAGGTTGCAGTGAGTCGAGATCATGCCACTGCACTCCAGCCTGGGCAACAGAGCAAGGCTCTGTCTCAAAAAAAAAAAACAGATGAAATTAGCCAGGCTTGGTGGCACGTGCCTGTAATCCCAGCTACTGGG